CCTGGTCCAAAGTCTTGTATGTACTATTACACAAAAAACATATACAGAACCTTTAAAATACAGGTTAGACTATTACAGCACAATCAAGATTTTACTAAGAATTTTGCTTTCGTAAGGTTTTTTAAGGTTCAGATCAGAGTGTCAGAAAAATGCTTTTCTTGAGCAAAATATGTCACTGCGTTTTGGAAGTTCTTTTCTTCTCAACTTTTTTTTCCACAAACTGCCACTTAACTGATGTAAAACTATGATAGCCATTTACCCAGGGCCGCCACGGGTCTTAAAAAGGTCTTAAATTTCATATTTCTAAATTAAGGCCTTAAAAAGTCTTAAATTATAATGTCCAAGTCTTATTTTTTCACAAAGGTCTTAAATTTCATTAGCCTTTTTTTTTGTATACTCAACCGGGCTGCAGTGCAATCTCGATCTCTCTCCCTCCTCTATTTCACTCCATCAAGTTAGGCACTACAGCTCTCTCTTTCTTTCTCTCTTTCTCTCTTTCTTTCTTTCTCTCTCTCTGGTTGAAGCACTTTAAAAGAATGTGAGTCAAGACAATGTGAAAGGTTAGTTTATCTTGTTAGAATGTTATAAATGCTTTTTTTGGCCATTTTACAAGCAGTGCATACTACTACAAATGAGTTCTGAATGAGATTTTATAATAACACTATTCTTTCTTATTTAAAGCAGTGAGTAATGGTCATTAAAAGAATTGGACCTGGTGTTTTTTGCCAACATAATGGCTGCGATGTTGGTCTTAATTTTCATTTAAGCGGTCTTAAAAAGGTCTTAAATGTGGGGTAGTCAAACCTGTTACCACAAAAACTATTTTACAGAACATATCTCTTGTATACAGCCTAGATATTATTACTTTTAATATTTTTTTCTCTTTGTTATTATATCGTGATTTGTGGTATCATCAAAGGTCTCATAATAATATCGTAGGTCATCCTAGTATATTAAATTAAACGTTTCTTTGCTTAAATTATGAACATTGTTATGATGCAGCAACAACTAAAAAACAGAGAGAACTACATGGACCATGATCCTTTGCTGCGTTTCAGTCCAATCTGCATGAGGAAATAACTGTTATGCACATTCACATTGGTATTAAAAAAAAATAAAGATAAGAACTAAGAAAAAAAAGTGATTGTATTTCTGTTAGAGGGGTTAGTTTATGGAACAACCTGAGTGATGATTTTAAAAAAGTCCAACACTGTAGAAGCCTTTAAAAAAAAATAAAAAAAAGTGTATGAAGTGTTATGTTTTCAAAGATACAGAGCTCTGGAATGAATGAATTATGCATTAAATTTAGTTTGTTTTAATTTATATTTTGTCTCTTATATATACAGTCATAAGTCATAACTGAAATTGTAAATGTAAACTTGCTGTTCATACTAGGGATGGGCATTCGATTAAATTTTCTTAATCGATAAATCATTAACGTTTTATACTAAAAGTATCATAATCATTATTACTATCTGCACTAGTAATCTGCATAAATAAATTCAACTTTACGACATATAAACTGTAACCACTATAAAGTCGCATCAGCCCGTTTGACATTATGTGTTGCTTTGTGAAAGTCTTACAGACACAAAACTTAAAACCACATGGCTAATTTGCATAAACTAAGTGAAGAAAAAAACAGCTCTTGTGCACTGATGCGGTCAACTTCTATTGGATTAAAGGACACGACTCAGTGGAATACAGGTTAGTGTGACCATATTTGCGTTTGTCAAAACCAGGACACCGTACGGGGGGTGGGAGGTGGGGCCTCGTCATCGACATTGAGCGACTCTCACCTGGCAAATCTTTTTCATGTTTTTCGGTGTCCTGGTGCTTTGAGGTCCCTGACACCCCCACTGGACACCGAAACATATGTGCCTACTATGTACACTGTGTACATGGACTCACACTTGTCTCGACCGGGACGGAAAGCGGGGAAATTCTTGTACAAGTCATCGTTAAATGTGCATTTGTGCTTCGGTGTGTTGCAGACTGACCGACTGTTTGTGTGCAGAGAGACACAAGAGCCGCTCAGTTTAATGGCTCAATGAAAGGTAATGAAAACCCAAACATTTGCATCACTTTATAAAAAAAAAAAAAAAAAAAAAAAACCCGGATGGCCAAGACATGACGTGGAAAACGGACATGTCTGGGGAAAAACGGGTGTTTGGTCACCCTACGCTACGCACAGCAACCAACATTCAGTTTGTCGATTAAAAATGAACGTAATCGATGAAATTCTTAATAATCAATTATCGATGAATCAACTAATCATGCCCATCCCTAGTTCATACGCTTTTTTTGTTCTTGGAATTCTGTCATTGTTTAATAGGGTTAGACATTATAAATTCTTTTTACTTCAGCCTAAACCCTTTCGGTCATGATCTATGGGACTGTAGTATATGCAGTGTTGGGGAGTAACGGATTACATGTACCGGAGTTATGTAATCAAGTACAAGTACAAGTACGAGTACAAATTATGAGTAACTGTATTCGGTTACAGTTACTGTTTCAGTGAGTGGTGATTGGATTACAGTTACTTTGTTGAAATAAATTGATTACATGGTGGGATTTTCCTGTTTTCACATTTTGGGCTAAATCAGGACTAAACCAGGACTAAACCAGGACTAAACCAGGACTAAACCAGGACTAAACCAGGTCTAAACCAGGACTAAAACCAGGACTAAACCCGGACTAAACCAGGTCTAAACTAGGACTAAAACCAGGACTAAACCCGGACTAAACCAGGACTAAAACCAGGACTAAAACCAGGACTAAAACCAGGTCTAAACCAGGTCTAAACCAGGTCTAAACCAGGACTAAAACCAGGACTAAACCTGGACTAAACCAGGTCTAAACTAGGATTAAAATCAGGACTAAACCAGGACTAAAACCAGGACTAAAACCAGGACTAAACCAGGCCTAAACCAGGACTAAAACCGGGACTAAAACCAGGACTAAACCAGGTCTAAAACCAGGTCTAAAACCAGGTCTAAACCAGGACTAAATCCAGGACTAAACCAGGACTAAAACCAGGACTAAACCAGGTCTAAACCAGGTCTAAACCAGGTCTAAACCAGAGCCTATTTGAAGAGAACAAACATGAATTTTCAGGATGTGGTTGCTACATTCATGTAGTTTTAAAAAACATGACAATATTAAGTAATCCAAAGTATTCAGATTACGTTACTCACTTTAAGTAATTTAATGGATTACGTTACAAACTACATTTTGGGGTGAGTAATCTGTAATCTGTAGGGGAATACATTTTAAAAGTCACCTTCCCAACACTGAGTATATGTTATGTTTTGTTTTTAATAACATAATAATAATAAACTACTACTGCTACCACATTGTGAAAATATCTTAGAGAAATTTGGAAATCGTTACATCCCTAGTGTGAGCTCTTGTGCCCAAATAATTTCCCTTGTGGATGTTTTGTCTATGTCAAGTTTAAAGTCCAAGTTTAGTCCAAAGTTCCAAATAATTAGAAAACATGAAACCCTGAGCACTTTAAATTCAGGATGAACCCTTCACCGCCCGAGACGGTGAAATATATTCGCCATTCAAAGTTCACGGAGTTCAGTCCACGTCAAACCTGGAGGGGTCTGGGAGTGGAGACACCATGTTTTGAAAAGTTAAATAAATATTCTGAGAGTGGTCACCCTGCTGTGGATGTTTAATTTGTAAAATATAAACAAAAGTGTCCTGGCGTTTTGTCTGTGGCACACTGGGCACGGCTCTGCTCTAATTAAACTGTCAGAATCAGGCGTTATGTAATTTTCATTAGAACAACAGTATGGGGTCCTCCTTTAATCTCTGCTCTGTGGTTAGCCTTAATAAGCACCTGACAAAGTGAATTTATGAGTGTTTGGTGTAACCCTATATGACCACTCAGGTATTTTAAGAGACGCTAAAGCAGCACCTTTACACCACATGCAATATTGTCTATGTGCTGTATGTTTACCTACTGTGGGAATATTATTGACAAATCATGTAATGTGACACAGTACATGTCCATAACCACACGACAAAACAATGTTAGAGAAGCATTATTGGATCTGATGTGTAAATAAATGAATAAAACTAAAACTAAAAACATGCAGTAAATTCATAGCTCAGCACTGTTTGTTTTTCTTTAAAAGTCCTACATTACGCAATATTGACTCTTGTGAGCTTTAAGCCATGTTCTAATGATATTACCTCCTCAAATACAGACCTGGAGTTGTGTTTTGTTTCATTCACACGTCTGACTAATCCTTTATTAGTCTGTCTACTAGGAATGTATAAATAACCAAAATATCGTAATATCGTATCATCAAAAGTCTCACAATAATATCGAAGGCCCTTACAATAGATCGAATTACAAGTCTCTTTCCTTAAAAAAAATTGTTATGGTGATTTTAATGTCTTTCTTATTCTGTAAAGCACTTTAAATTACTTTGCGTGCTATAGAAATAATAACAGTACCAAAGGCTTTTCAAGGCTGTTAAAAGAAAAAAGTAGCAAATTCACAATTTTGTTAGCTTACCACAAAATACTGCAATAAATATCGAACCGTGAGATGCACATTGTAAAAATATCGTATTGAGGGACACTGATATCGTTACAACTCTACTCTGTACATGTCCAAACCTCAAAATGCTCTGTTCCACCGAGTGATGTCATGAAGAGCTTTTAACTTTTGTTCAGTAGAGATTGGCAGTTCCGGGGCAGAAATGATCCAAATGATTCTCGTGAAGGTGTCAGGAGTTTAAAAACATATTGGAGCACTTCCTGTATTACCACATGACATCACAAGGTGGAAAAATGTAAGATGAGCCCAGTCTAAATATGCAGGGTTTGTGAGTTAAACATGTGTGAATGAAACAAAACCCAACTCCAGGTCTGTTTATGATGTGAAACGACGTTATAACATGGATCAGAAAACACCGTAATATGCGCCGTTTACTTTCTGTAAATATTTAAAGCTACATGTTCCTTCTGAGTGTACTCACCGAGCACCTCCGCAGTCGCCATGATCTCACAGGTGTACATCGCAGCCATGAGTCTCTGGGGCTGGGCCTGAAAAGCCTGTCTGCACGCCTCTTTAGTCGCCGCGATCAGCTGACCAGACACAGGCCCGTAACAGTCCGCCTCCGCCCGCCGTTTGCTCTGTCCCGCCGTCTCCCCCGGGCCCTCGCCGTCCCCCGCCGCGTCCTGGGACACGGAGTCTTCTTCCACAGAGTCCCGGTGCTGCAGGGCGGCGCTGGTCTGGACATCCCAGCGCTCCACCGAAAAGCAAACTCCCATCAGAGGCTCTTCGCACATGGGCCCGGACAGCGTGGCCAGCTGGAAGCCGCTCACGATGCTGTTGTCGAGGTCTCTCAGTGTGTTTTGGGGCTTGTCTCCATGACGACTCAGACACTGCCACACGGACGGGCGCGAGTACGAGTCCACGCTGTTCAAGAGGATGTTTGGACCATACCTGAGGGAAGCAAAAACAAGAGAGTGGGGTAACAAAACAGGTGGAGACTTAAAACAACTGTTAAAGCTCCTGTATTACACAAAACTGACTCTTGTGAGATTTTAGTCATGCTATAGGCAAGTTTCAGCTGACATCATTGTTATTAAAAGCCCGCGTTGCATGCTGGGAAATATTTTGGTCGGAGGCAAGAAACATGATAGTGGTCAAACACAGTGCGTAACCTTGTGTATTTATCCCCGATAATGGTAAATTCCTGCTGCATTATCGGATGCACAAATAGAAGCACGGAAGAAGGAAAATGTATTTTTCATATTCTGAGTGAAAAGAACCGCTAACGGTGAATTAAATGACTTTCAAACATTCGCAGAGCAAACGTAGAAGATCCTAACAAACCGTGGACTCCAACAAGTTCAACAACACATCGAGACTCTTGGAGGTTTTCATCTTTTCTGCTGTGAATGGCCCAGGAGTTTCCACCAAGTCATTGTGGATATCGCCGAAGTGAATATTTGTCCAAGTAGTTGGCGATTCCGACCAGAAATTTGGTTTGGTCCACGCTTTGTAGGGGTTGAAAAGGGTGATTTGGCGTCTTATGACCAATTTCTGGTCAAATTGTCTTGGGTCCTCTGCCGTTAGAGTGGATAAATAACCGGGATCAATACCCTTTACGTGCTTTCTCGCTCCATCCGTCATGTTGAATTAGTGTTTATTGCCGCCGACCAAAATAATTCCCAGCATGCAACGCGCGCTTTTGTCAACAATGAAACTCGCCTATAATGTCTTACCTCCTCAAAAATATCCTCCTGAGACCTGGCAAATTCATTGGTGTCCTTTAAGGTGGACATTTGAGTTAACCAGTCGATCTTTTAAGTGTTTTGAGACAGAGTCTTAATGGGGGGACTAGGTTCCTCTGCCTAAATAGGGCTGGAGGATTATAGGGTGATCATGTCCAGGATCAAAAATTAACTAAATAGGAGTAAGTTTGTGGCTGCACTATGATTAGAAAATAAGAAATTAAAGGGGAGTCCAAAAACGGACTGTAAAAGCTTGTCAGAGATGTTCGTCATCTCTTAGGTTTTTCTTTGGTTGTTAACTTCACATGGATTTAAAACCAAAATGTCCCTGGTGTCCATTACAGATAAAACACATGAAAATAAAATTAATAAAAGATGTTCATTTACCTCCAAATAGAAAATCACAAAAAATATATATATATATTGCAATACACTTTTTTTCTTCAGGTCCCAGGAGGATATACCTGGAGTTGTGTTTTGTTTCATTTACACAAGTTTTTGTAATCTTGTTTTATTAGTTTGTCCACATCTCAAAAGCTCAAAAGGCTCTGTTCCACCTCGTGATGTCAAACAGCACTAAGCAATATTACAATTCAGATCTGTGGAGAGTTGCTCCTATAGGCGAGTTTCATTGTTGACAAAAGCGCGCGTTGCATGCTGGGAATTATTTTGGTCGGCGGCAATAAACACTAATTCAACATGAGGGACGGAAGCGAGAAAGCACGTAAAGGGTATTGATCCCGGTTATTTATCCACTCTAACGGCAGAGGACCCAAGACGATTTGACCAGAAATTGGTCATAAGCATCGACGGACGCCAAATCACCCTTTTCAACCCCGACAAAAGGTGGACCAAACCAAATTTCTGGTCAGAATCACCAACTACCTGGACAAATATTCACTTCGGCGATATCCACAATGACTTGGTGGAAACTCCTGGGCCATTCACAGCAGAAAAGATGAAAACCTCCAAGAGTCTCGATGTGTTGTTGAACTTGTTGGAGTCCACGGTTTGTTAGGATCTTCTACGTTTGCTCTGCGAATGTTTGAAAGCCGTTTACTTCTCCGTTAGTGGTTCTTTTCACACGGAATACGAAAAGACATTTTCATTCTTCCGTGCTTCTATTTGTGCATCCGATAATGCAGCAGGAATTTACCATTATCGGGGATAAATACGCGAGGTTACGCACTGTGTTTGACCACTATCCTGTTTCTTGCCTCCGACCAAAATATTTCCCAGCATGCAACGCGGGCTTTTAATAACAATGACGTCAGCTGAAACTCGCCTACTGACAGGATGAATCACTGTATTTTTGAGCAACAGAAACACCCGTAATGAATAAATGGGTCTCCAACCTGTCACTCGGGAGCTACCAGCAGCTCTCCACCCCCTTCAAAGTAGCTCACCAAGGGATTTCGGAATTAAACCATTGTGCTGAGTAACAAAAATGTGATTAATTACATGCCTGTTACCATTGTACTGGCATCATTTTGAAGGCCAACATTGTGAACTAATAAATGGACAATGGTTTTTGTTTTATAGGCATTTAGCTGTGCAATGGTTCGCCTACTTTCTTATAATCGTCTCAAATTCTTGCAGCCGTTAAAATGAGAAGCTCTCTGGCATTTTTGTTTCACTGGAGGAAAAAGGTTGGAGACCCCTGTGCCAAATGGGTTTGTTTAATGTCATACCATGGAACATTCCAGGCAAAACAATAGCATCTCCATGGAAACAACCACCAGAAAAGTTGAGCAGCGCACCTTTAAGCTTATGTGCGTTTTAAAAAGTAATTCAATCTGCAAGTTTAGATTTAAAGGTGCATTGTGTGTAACTTTTCTGGTGGAAGGTTCGTCAAATCCTTTTCTCCTTGAAGATGTTGTTGCTTTGTCTGGAATTTTAAACCTTTCTATCTTCATGGAAACCAAACGAGACCAAGTTACAGGTCAGATCTGTGGAGAGGCAACCCCGCTCACCTGTGATTGAAGGTAATGTTGTTTAATGTCATACTGTGGAACATTCCAGGCAGAGCAATGACACATCCATAGAAACAAGCAGGTGACGAATCCGTGTATCATCCGTTCATTGTTTTAAATATAAAAATAAAACCAAAAATAAGAAAACGAAAAAACAACAATTTTCTTCATTATTTGTTCTCCAAAATCAAAATGAAAACCAGGACTGAACCAGGACTAAAACAGGACTAAACTAAGGCTAAAACAGGACTAAAACAGGACTAAACTAGGGCTAAAACAGGACTAAACCAGGGCTAAACCAGGACTAAAACCAGGACTAAACCAGGAGCTAAAACAGGACTGAACCAGGGCTAAACCAGGACTAAACCAGGACTGAACCAGGAGTAAAACAGGACTGAACCAGGGCTAAACCAGGACTAAAACAGGACTAAACCAGGGCTAAACCAGGTCTAAACCAGGTCTAAAACAGGACTAAACCAGGGCTAAACCAAAGGACTGAACCAGGAGTAAAACAGGACTAAACCAGGGCTAAACCAGGACTAAAACAGGAGTAAAACAGGACTAAATTAAGGCTAAAACAGGACTAAACCAGGGCTAAACCAGGTCTAAACCAGGTCTAAAACAGGACTAAAACAGGACTAAAACAGGACTGAACCAGAAGTAAAACAGGACTAAACTAAGGCTAAAACAGGACTAAAACAGGACTAAAACAGGACTAAACCAGGACTGAACCAGGTCAGTAATGAAAAAAACGGATAATGGTCTTTTCCAGTTTCTGTGAATTAAACTGCGATGCCGGACTTTTGGGCCGCATACGGACTAAACCAGGTCTAAACCGGTCTCAGTCCCGGTCTGGTCCCAGTCTCAGTCCTGGTTTTAGTCCCAATCTGGTCCCGGTCTGGTCCCAATCTCAGTCTTGGGCTGGTCCTGACTAAACCAGGACTAAACGGGAACTGAACCAGGACTGAACCAGGAGTGTCGGGACAGGCCCAGAGGTCATGAGAAACTGGGAGAAAGCCGGGACCAAGACTGGGACCGGGACCGAGACCGAGACCGGGACCGAGATCAGGACTGAGACCGGTTTAGACCTGGTTTAGTCCGTATGCGGCCCAAAAGTCCGGCATCGCAGTTTAATTCACAGAAACTGGAAAAGACCATTATCCGTTTTTTTCATTATTCATTTAAACACAAAATCGAAAACTGAAAAACACAAGTCGTCATCTTTTTTTTTTTTTTTTTTTTCATTTTGGTTTTGGAGACAAATAACGAAAAACCAGAAACCATCATGGAGTTGTTTTATTAAATCAATCCTAGATGATCCAGCTATAGATCTTCAGAAAATGCTTCCACTGCCGACAGTACAATTCCCAAAACAGTGTCCTATCATTCAAACATAATTCAAATCAAGAGCTATGATCCTCAAAGTAATCATTACAATATTATTTTTAAGAGGCTGTCCGGACCTACTTCAGCAAATCGAAAATACTACAGGCTGCGCAAGGACTCTCAAGTGTTATTAAGTCCAATGGAGCACAGACATTGATATCTGAAAGGACACAATTTAATTATCTTAAATGTTTTTACTATTTTATTGCGGATTTCTTGAGTGGTGGACAAACTGTATCTGTATCTAATTACGTAGTTTTCTAATATAAAGAAACTACATTGAGATTATACGAGCAAAGATTTGTGTTCTTTTTACAGCAGTGAAAATGTGAGTTAAAGAACAAATCGGAATAAGAGCAACAGCGAACCCTTTCATAAAATGTTCCATTGCTGTAAACAAAAAAATAACTCATATTAAAATGATTTATCTCATGCATTAAAGCCAGGTTTGTATGTTTTTGTAATCTGATTAGAGGTAAATATGTTAAATATATATGCTAAGTATATCTATAACCTGGAATATTTATTTATGTTGAATATACAGATGCTTATTAATGTTCACTGTCAATTAATAATAATAATAATAATAATAATAATAATAATAATAATAATAATAATAATAATAATAAATAATTAACATAAATAAACATTTTATTCTCATAAATTCTGTCTATGACCATAAACTTACAGCAAGTCTTTCCATACCCTTTAGTGCACAGGTGTCAAACATAAGGCCCGGGGGCCAGATCCGGCCCTCCAAGACCTTCAATGTGGCCCTTGGCTGATTTTGTACTAAAATATTTTAATTATATTTTCTATTAAAATATTGTTTATTTTCTGCAGTGTTTATCATAGCAGCGTCTCCAGCGTCTCTGTACGTGGCCCCTCCCACCAGAGCAGCACAAATGAAGACTTGTCTCTTTCCAAACGCTCTTAAAGGACGATCGTTTTGACTGTTGACCGTGACACCCTCATCAGCAAAATGTCCAAAATGAGAAAAGTGGAGCCGAGTGCAGGATTTTACAAGAAAAATTGTCTTATTCCTGTTTCAATACAAGTTAATGTTAAACATTGTGCTGAAATTGCATTTTTCTTAAAGTTTCAGGTTGTCCATAATATTATAATATTTTGTAAAAGAAAGAGTTCATCAATTAAAAAAGATTTCTGTAATAGATTTGCGTTTCTCTGCACAAATATTTGAACCTATTGTTATTTTTGGGGTTTATATGACATGAGTTTTCTGATCCGGCCCTTGTGGGATCAAAGTAGGTTGGATACGGCCCCCGGACCAAAATGAGTTTGACACCCCTGCTTTAGTGGGACCCTTTTTTAACTTACATAACATATACATTTTAGCACTGTCCTCCTATCTCCCTCACAACATTGATATAAGAAGAAGTTAAAACCGCATAGAAGTAAAATACCCCCTTTTTAAGACATTAAGTTACAAGATAAATACGTGATTTATTGTTTTTAAAGTTCTATATTATGCAAAATTGACTCTTGTGAGCTTGAAGCCATATTATAATGTTGTTACCTCATCAAAAACATACCTGGAGTTGTGTTATGAGTCATTCACATATTTGAGTAACTCTTTATTATGTCTGTCTAAATCTCTAAAGCTCAAAATGCTTTATTCCACCTTGTGATGTTATGAAGCAGTAGTTTTCAAGGTACTTTTTACTTTTTGTGTAGCAGAGATTGAATATTTAAAGGCTGAAATTATCCAAATATTTCTAGTGAGTGGTTTGTGTTGCATTTTTTTGTATGAAAAGTGCTCTATAAATATTGATTGAGTGAGCCCCGTGTCAGTTTTTGATGAGGAAACAACATTATAGCATAGATCAGAAAATAGCGTAATGTGGGCCCTTTAAAGTCAGATCAAAGTTGTGAGAGAGTAACCAATTTTAATTTGAGCCATTTGAGACTTTTTTAACCAAATAATACAACTACAGTCTCCCCTTGCACTACACCACTTTATATTGTGTTTGTACAATATTAATCAGAATTAAAAACAGTAAATATGTTACGTGTAGATGTAAAATACCCCCTCTTTAAAAGTGCATTGTGTAACTTTTCAGGGGAAGGGTCCGTCAAATGCTTTTCTCCATGGAGATGTCTGAAATGTTTCACAGTATGGCATTAAAACTATCAACATGGGGACCAAACCAGGCCAAGTTAGTCTGTGCATAGACAGACAAAATCCTTGTTTTTCTAGGTATTTTTGAGCTATAAAATTACCTGTAATTAAATAAATGTAAGAAAGTGCTGTTTAATGTTTAAAATTGTCAAAAATTCGACATATTGATAGAAACACGACTGTGATGGACTCCCGACCGAAAAATTACACAGTGCATCTTTAAAGACAATAAGTTACAACACGCAAGATAAACACATCTCCTAATTCATTATCTTTAAAGAACCAAAGTTGTGAGAGAAAAAAAATAATAATTTCTTAAATTTTACTGTAATTTCTGAACTATAAGCTGCTACTTTTTTCTCACACATTAAACCCTGCAGCTAATAAAACGATGTGGCTGACATGAAACTAGACAGTACAGTGGCTCTTTTTGCAGGAGACATGCGCAGAGCGTGGGGAGAGATGGGGGTGATGCGCTGAGTAAGATGCTAGTTTTATTGTGTTTTGTGTGTTTTCCTCATGGAAAATACATGGAGAAATGCAGATGATGCAGCGTTTAAGTTCAAGGCAATTGATGTGGCTGTCAAAGAAGGAAATCGAGCAGCTGCATGTGAGCTCGGCATCGATAAGTCAATGGAGAGATTTTGGTGATGACAAAAACTGACTCAATGCAAAAAGATGACAAAAGCTTTCAGAGGCGATAAAAGCAGAAGGCCCGAACTTGAAAACGTTCTTGAAGACGTGGACACCTGCGGCTTATATTCAGGTGTGGCCTATATATGTACAATTTTTACATTTTGTTCAAATTTAGTCAATGCGGCTTATATTCAGGTGTACTCAATAGTCCAGAAATTACGGTAATTTGAGCCATTTGATACTTTTACCAAATAATACAACTACAGTCTCCCCTTTCCACACACCCCTCAGTGTAAACGTGTCTTCATTGTGTTAAATAACTGGTTTAGTGTGCAGACTTCTCACCTGCGTGGTCCAAAAGCCCAGATACGATCCACAGCGTTCCTCCACCTGTGCCCCTGCAGCAGAGCCTCCAGTTTGAGCTTCAGCTCCGAGATCTGCTCCAGGCTCCTGGGACTCACCTCCAGCTCTCGGCCCTCCCTCAGAGACAGATTCACCTGCTCCAGAGTCCGGATCAGCTCGGCACTGTTCTCCAACAAACTCGTTACCTCTGAGAAACGTGGGGAGCAAAAACAGAATATAAATGTCATTTGAAAGTAACCACTGCTCAGGAAAATGTCAATCATGCATGTGTGTGTAAGTGAAAGCATGTGTGTGTGGGTGAGGAGTGAACGTATGACTCTTATCTGTAGGCTGGTTGAAAAATTAACCATCTTGGGTATAAAAAAATCAAATAAACATACAGATGGTAGCTTCATGCACAACCATTTGAGCTTGGGTGTGGTAACATATGTGCTCAAAATGTCATTATTATCAGATTTTTGGTGTTAAAAGATTATTAAAACGACTTGTAAACAGCAAAATCATCTAGATATTCTTTCTGATCATGGTCCCTCTTCCTACCCAGATCAGAATTTGCGGTTTTCATGTCATTTAAATCATCTGACAGGTCCAGAAATGTATTTATAATCAGATTTTGGTGTGGAAACAAGTCAGAGTCAGAGCTGTGGTCTCACCCTGTGGCAGAGGAATGGCCCGGATGCTGACAGTGGCCAGTCTGTTTGGAGTGGTGAGAGTGACCAGACCAGAGGAGTCCACCTGCAGAGTGTCAGAGGAGCGGCTCTGAGAGGAATCCTCCTTCACCTGGAAACAACATAAAACAAGAGAAACCTTCAACATAAGAAACTGTTAATAAACTCTTCTCAATTATTATGAGATTATAATAACACTTACTTATAATTATATCATTATATTATTCTTTGAAGGCTACAATTGGTTAATTATAGGGATGTAACAATAACCCAAATATCGTGATATCGTATCGTTAAAAGTCTCACAATAATAGCATGAGCTGTCACAATATATCGAATCACAAGTTCCTTTGCTTAAATACATGGTTTTATAGTAGCAACAGCTTATAAACATCGAGAACTACATATCCCATGATTCATTTCAGTGCAGACAACATGAAGTTATATGTTTTTACTTGAATTCTTGGGATTATGATGGAAATAATTCACACCAAAACTCTTGTCAAGGTGTTTTAAAAGCAAAAAAGTGTCCCATCTACAATTATATCAGCCTCACCAAAATATCGCAATAAATATCGTACCATGAGATGCATATTGTAATAATATCGTACCGAAAGAGTCGTTACATCCCTAGTTATTTATAGCCTTAGAATTTCTAAAAGGGAACGATTATTGGTGTACAGTAACATTATCAAAAAATATGTGGCTGTTATCTGTTAGTGTTTGTATCCTTACAAAATATACAATGCAAATCAATAATGCATATGCCATGTTGATGATGGTAGTTATTATTGTGCAATTACTGTAGATAAGTTGACCACTCACTGTATCATAACAAAAACATCTGCCCTTTCTGTATTAATTCATATTGGCCAATAAAAAGTTGTGATGTCATCTTAAACCCAACAATTTACAGTATATGACAGTATATATAAATTATTACTAGGGCTGGGTATCATTAAGAAGTTGCTGATACGATACATACCTCGATACACAGGCCAGGATACGATACATATCTCTATACAGTGCATTTTCGATTCGATACGATATATTTCAAAACAATTTGATACAGTTCGATAAAAAATAAAGGCTAAATCATGGCTATGACACTAAAAGTCTTAATTAAACCACTTCTTGTGCAAAGTGAATATGAAAAACACCCATTTTAATCATCAAAACTGTGAAGCGTGAGTTCGGGCACCAGCCAATCAGCGAACAGCAATACATTCTGTGTTGGCATCGATTCCCGAGATCGAGGATTTAAAGCCGGAACAAAGAGAATGTTTGGTGAATTTTATCACGGTTATTGCCATTCTTCCTACAGAATTTGAGAAAAGCTTAATACACCAGTAAGCCCCGTTAGCGGCGCATTACATACGTCACGACCAAATAGAAACGATTGGTTACATTAAAAAAAGTACCCGCCTAATGTTGAGCGAACGATTCCTAATGCTGTGAGGTCAGGCGGTTTTCACAAAGTGAAACTGGCTGATGAATCAGGCTACTAATTATTACAATCAATCCATCAAATCTAAATGGTATTTTAATTGAACTATTGAAGTATTTCTACAATCAATTTTCTCTTCATCCACATATTCCTAATTTAACATCATTTTACTTTTACCAAGCTGAAGAGTTGATATTTGATTGTATTTCTCATGGCAATCAGAACAAAATAAGTGCCAACTGCAAAAGCTCCACATGAATCAATTACGTCTATAACACTTGGGATTAACTTTGAACGTCTTGATAACTTTTGCTGAATTCCCTCTTTGTTACAGACCTGGTGAATAATGGCCACTTTATGCTGCCTGCCCATCTCCTCGTTCACCATGTCCACTTTAGGAGGTCGGACCACTGTCTCTCTGAACGGGATGATGGGTTCAGAGGCGCTGATTTCAATTTTAGCAAATCTGAAAAACAAAAAACAAAACAGAAATGTCACTGTCATTGAGTGCGTATACATGCACATCGGTATCCCGGTTATGTTCGGGTTGTTTGAGTATCCTGCTTTCTTCATGATGCATGTAAACACACTACCCCAGTTTCAGTATCCCGGTTATTAGAAATCGGGACACTGTAGCTGGTATATTCTGATAGTAACCGGGATACTGTGGCATGTGTACACAGTATCCCGGTTACTGCAACATAAATTTGCGCATGCGTCCAAAAGACACTTACTTTTCAGCCTTTTCACCACAACAATAGCGACATAAATACAGTAAAGTGACCATACATGAGTGAAATGACTGCGCCAAACCTGCACACGTACAGCCTGGACTCGTATGATCGCTAAAAAGTTAAACATGAAACATCTCCTATGCGCACAGAAGAAGAGACTTACTATCATCAGCCACTCCTCTGTCACAGAAAAAAACACATATAATCCACTGAGTCGTGTCCTTTAGTCCAACAAAAGCTGAACCGCATCAGTATCACAAAGAGCGAGCTGTTTTTATCAGCACTAAGAGTTTATGCAAATTAGCCATGTGGTCTTAAGTTTAATTTAAGTAAAACGTAAACAAATGTATCAAACGGGCTGATGCGGTTATGGTTTATATGTTATAAAGTAGGGATGGGCATTCGATGAAATTTTCTTAATCGATCGTCGAGAGAATTAACGATCGATTATCGATTAATCATGAACGTTTTTATATGAAAAAATATCATCATTATTATTACTATCTGCACTCCTAATCTGCATAAATAAATTCAACTTTACGACAAATAAACCGTAACGACTCTAGAGCCACATCAGCACGTTTATTATTATGTGTTTAATTCAGTTTTGTTCAACTCTCACAGAAACGAAACTTAAAACCGCATCGCTAATTTGCATAAACTAAGCGAAGATAAAACTACAGCTCTTGTGTCGCTGATGCGGTCAACATCTGTCGGATTAAAAGACATGGTTCAGTGGAATACAGGTTAGTGTGACCATATTTGCGTTGTCAAAACCAGGACACTGTACGGGGGGAGGGAGGTGGGGACTCGTCATCGATATTGCGCGACTCTCACCTGGCAAAGCTTTTTCCCACTGGACACCGAGACATATGTGCTGCTTTATACACTGTGCACATGGACTCACACTTGTCCCGACCGGAACGGAAAGTGTGGAATTTCTTGTACAAATCATCGTTAAATCCGCATATGCACTTCGGTACGTTGCAGGCGGACTGACTGTTTGCGTTTGCTCGCTCCTTCTGAGTGCAGAGAGACACATGTACAGACCCGTTTGGTGACGCTACACACAGCAACCTACATTCGGTTTGTCGATAAAAATTTACGTAATCGATGAAATTCTTAATAATCAATTATCGATTAATCGACTAATCATGCCCATCCCTATTATAAAGCTGAGTTTATTTATACAGAATATTTTAATAAAAAATCTACACGTTGGGTTTGATCTGTGCAGTGGATTGTGGGATACCTCATAGCTCCGTACCGCTGGTTAGAACCTCCCGAGCTTCTGACGCTAAAGGAGCTCATGTTTGTTTATATTTTTCCTGGTTTATTAAAATTAAGTAAATTTTGCGTTTGCACATTTGTAAGATTATACCAAGAAACCGGGATACTCCATTTGATCGTGTACATATGAATATGAGTATCCCGGTTTATCACCCTGCATGTATACGCAGTATCCCGAATACTACCATAACCGGGATACTAATGTACACACTCACTGTTTAGGCCTGTCACGATAACATAGTTTGAAGTATGATAAATATATTGCTGAAAAAAATATAGACGATTAAAAATGTGGGTCCGGTCAAGCGGTAACGGAGGGAAACGGGCAGATTTTTGACATTCAAATGTCTCTTATTCTGAAACTAGAGGGACTATTGAAATAAGTAAAGTATCAGAATGTAGGAAAGAGTTACACTCCAACAGGGTAAAGTTAAACCTGTGATATTCTTTCAAGTTGTTGACAAAAATTTAAAAAACTCATGTCGGTAATGGAGGGAATGAAATATGCAGCACTTTTTGGGCAATAAATACAAACAGTGATAACTCTTGGTTCTCACATATCCTTAACAAACTGGTTTGAATATTTGCTTCATATAGTTTTCTACCATATGGTACAAGATTAGGTTGAGAAACCTCTTACTTTTTGAGTCATGAGATTTTTTATTAAAGGAAACTATTTCTATAAAATATGTCAGTCCTTCCAAGCAAATTTTTATCATTTTAAATACTTTTTTTTTTTTTTTTTTATTCATGTACCTTCATCAACAGTTCAAAGATCGAATAACACAAGATATGATGAAATACATCCATTTATTGACATGATTTGCAGGTCTTTGAAATTTTTCTGAAATAATTTTTGTTCCATGTTTCATACATGGTCTGTTTAAAACGTATGTATCTTTAGAACCAAAAATGGTACAGAAAAAAGGTCAACAGTTTCATAAACTAGAGTACATATGTATCTGTTGAATAAATTTTTATATCAGATGCATTAACTTGAATTTTTGGCCTTGCTGTTTACTTCTGCTTGACCGGGCCCATTAGTATTGAAAATACTTTAAGCCAATGACACAAGAAACTCCAGTAAAACCTTTTCTAAATGTGTAATATTCCTCCTCTCTTCAGGCAGTGTCCTTCAACAGTCTGACCAGAACTGAAGAAGCTGCTTGGACGAGCTGCAAAACGTCTTCGCTCAAAACCTTTTGTACAGCTGACAGAACAGAATTTTTCTTTTCTATGGATCGTATCTGGACGACGGAGGAATTACAGAGATATTGTACCCGGACTATAGTTTTGTCTTTTATTTAGTATGGTTTACATTAAATAAAGCATATTAAAAACGGTTTATATTATGAAAACTGATGTTGGGGTGGAGGTATTTTTACAGAAGTGATATTAAATCTGTCAGATGTGCATTCAGTGAGATCTCGACTACAAGAGCCAAAATAAGCCATCCATGTTTTTTGAATAAATCTCTATCCGGATGGTTTAAATAAGAATAGATTTGGATAAATATTGATTCAACTAAACGTGAATGGGCTCTTTGTTTGAGAATGGGAAAATGAGTCTATCAGAAACAACTGTATTTTAATTTGTTTATATTGTGATTCACTGACTTGCAAAATTGGTCATATTCCACATTTAACCAGGCAAAAATGACATTACTGACAAAGATTGTGTAATTATATGGAAATCTTGATGAATGTCTTTTAAAAAACACAAATATATAAATCTTGGATGGAGTTCAAGACTGTACTAGACCAATTTATGAGTTTGAGAGACCCTAAAGCGATAGCAGCTTAATACTATGGAGGTCAAAATCTTAATTAACTTCTTAAGCTGTGCACAACTGATCACTGGGCACAACATTAAATAACTTTAGTGCTGATGGAAAAAATATATATGATATTTTAGTTGGATCAGTAAACTAAGAAATAGGATAACACAAAGCAAAGACCATATATCAGACTATTGGGATGGAAAACACTGACAAAAATCTTACTAGATACTTGAAAGATTCAGAAAACAGCCATTTAATATAAAAACATATATCTATATACATGTGTTTGTCTTACCTGCTTAAAACTATTTTCATTTAAAGGTCCTAAATCAGTGTTTCCCAAACCCATATTTTAAAAGTCACAAACCTTCGCAACCCAAGTCAATAAAAATGACTCGTAAATCACAAAATAAAGATGGATTTGACCATTATTGAACATTAATGAGGATATTTTATTGTTGACTGAGTGACAATTAGTATTACTCAGCTTTTAAACAATGAAAAACAGTAACTAAACCAGCAATAAAAGGATCCATAAGTCGCCTATTTGGACATTAAACGTATCCCATTTCTTTTTCTTTTCAACATTCAATTGACCAACATGCAGATCGTGACAAGGCGCGATTCAGTCTTTGGGAAACAATGTCCTAAATTAAGCAAAATTGACTCTTGTGAGCTTTAAGCCAAGTTATAATGTTGTTACTTCATCGAAAACAGACCTGGAGTTGTGTTTTGTTTCATTCGCACATGTCTGAGTCATCTTTTATTATCACTCTGTCCACATTTCCAAAGCTCAAAATGCTCCTTTCCACCTTGTGATGTCATGGAGTTGTAGTTTTTAAGTTAACAGTAAGGATGTAACGATATCCAAATCTCACGGTACGATATTTAGTGCAATATTGTGAAGAGGCTGATGTAATTGTAGGTGGGACACAGTTTTGCTTTTAAAATACCTTGACAAGATTTTGGTGTGAATTATTTCCACCATAATCCCAAGAATTCAAGTAAAAAACATATTTCTTCATGTTGTTTGCACTGAAATGAATCATGGGATATGTAGTTCCCGATGTTTATAAGCTGTTGCTGCTATAAAACGATGTATTTAAGTAAACGAAATTGTAATTCGATATATTGTGACAGCCCATGATATTATTGTGAGACTTTTGACGATACGATATCACGATATTTCGTTTTTTGTTACATCCCTAATTAACAGCTACACCTGTGTGAGAGAAGAAGCCAAAATCTGCAGGGTTTGTGTTAGAGATGCGCGGATGGGCTATTTTTTCATCCGCAACCGTGACACAAAACTCATCATCCGCCCGCTGTCCATTTTGCACCGAAGGTTTTCAAAACCGCACCCGCCCGCCATCCGCCCATTGATTTTAGATTTTAGAACAATCATACAGCAAACAAACTAAGGAGCCTCGATAAAAATGCAAACTCTGTAGCTCATTCATTCCAAAATTCGCTCAGCGTGTATGTTCGCTTTCTTAATTGTCCGTAACAAACCCAAACTTACCTGGTTTTCTTGGGCAGCTAATTAATTGACAATGTTTTCCGACTAGACTATTTTTGAACCTTCTTGCCTTCGTGTTGGATGTTGTTACATTCTGAACATTCTGCCATTGCCCGATGTTATTTCAAAGTCATAGCCTCACT